CCGAGGACAGCGTCACAGAGCCCCTAGTGCAGGTGACTCACTGTGCGAGCCTGTCTCAATCTAGGCCCAGCCAGGTGTGGGAGGCTCTGGGAAAGGCCACTTCAGGTGAGGAAAGGCAATGAGTTCCCAGTGAGCCTCAGTCAGGATGACTTGTTCTGCAGCTACATTTAACCAGGCCACCCTCCAATCACAGACATGACTTAGTGAAATGGGGGCCAAAGTCCCAGACGGAGGACAGACATTAGTGTCAGTCACTGGAGGCAATTACAGAGAGAGTGGGTGTTTCCGGTACCTGAGACCCTGCATCGCAGCCTTCCACTGCGTCTGTGCTGGTCACTCTAGCTCCCTCAGAAGAAAGCCCCCTCCCTCGATTCTGTGAGTGCTCGGAGGTACCACCAGTCTGGCTGTCCTCTCTTTGGGGGTGGACAAGGGGCTATAACTCCCAGAAAACATGCTATCAAAACCCCTGCCTCTACTTGGGCCCTTCTGGTCTGCTCCTTAGCATTTTCCAGTACTTTCCAGGTATCCTGTCCAATGAGCTCAGGCAGAACTGGTTTCTATTATCCCTGCCATCAAAGGGCTGATACATGACACCTCTGTGAGGACAGGCGCTTGGTCTTGTCCTTTATATTTTTTAGGATGGAGGTCACATGGCTGGCCCATGTGCTGACCTGGGGACCTTCGGTTATTGCCAGACAGGCCATTTGAGCAGGGGCACTGACTGAGTGAGTGAAATCTGTCAGCAACCTTCTGGAGGTGACTGCACCTACTGGGCGCCTCAGCTCCACCCTGCCTTCTTGCCTCTCAGAAACCTCAGCTTCTCGCCTCAGCCACTCTCCTGTTCCTAGCATCAGGCTAGGCTCTATCTTCTTCCCCTGAGACCCTCTGGCAGCTCTTATAGGATGGCCACATGTGACAGAGCTTAAGTACCCCTTGAATTGGGTCTGACTGTGTTCACCACAGAGCCAGTTCCCAAAGTTGTCACCTGATAGACTCCTCCAGGGGCACAGACAACAGGGCTGTCTCCAATGAAGACAGGACCCAGAGTTGTGGATCCTAGAGGGGCACATGAGCTGTGACTGTGAGAGAGCCCGGTCCCGACCCACACAGGCCCAGGAGAGAGCTGGCTGGGTGCCATGTGTTACCGCTTCTGCAGGACGGTGACAAACTCATTGAGGCGGTCTCGCTCCACCTCGGCAGCCTGCCAAAGGGCCTTCATTTCTGCTGCTTGTGCCTGCCAGCCTTTTTGTTCTGGGGAATCCAGGAACCTGGGGCCAGAGTGGAGGGCAGAGGGCAGAAGTCACCTTAAGTTTGAGGACATAAACATCCCCACACAGTGGCAGGAGGGACCGTGACATTTAGAGGTTCTCGGATGGCCAGAGGAGAGGGAAACACAGCCACCATACCTGGTTCTGCCAGGCACTCAGGCCCACTAAGCTGCCAGTGGCATTGTACCTCTGTCTGTCTAGGACCAAGGGCCTGGTTCCCTGCCAGTGCCGGGTGGCTTGCCGTGACTGATGGTCCCTGCCAGACTCTCCAATGTCTGGCTCAAACTGTCACAGGTACTTCATGGGGGACAGTAGCCCAGAGAGAGGCCCGCTGGCTTTACGGCCAAACAGTGAACCTCAAGTGAGGGTGGCCACTTGAGGCCTCTCCTGGATCCTAAGCTGACCTGCATGAAGGGATGGGGCGTGCTGACAGCAGGAGTCTCCGGTGGACAGTGGGTAGACTCAGAAGCAGGACAAACCATCCTTTGTCTGTGAGCCCACAAGAAGAACAAAGGGTGCATTTAAGCCCCGAGCCTGGCTTTATCCACAAAGAGGAGGCTAGAGAGCAGAGAGGATATCAGTGACTTAGTGTGAGGTGACCCCCCCCCCACCCGGAGAAAAGATTCTCAGTGGGTAAGAGAAGGCTGTCGAAGGTGGGGCCAGGCCAGGAGGGCACCTCGTGCTGACTCCCTAGTCCAGGAAAGAGGCCCAGACTGCCTTTCGGGGCCAAGGTCTATCTCTGAACATGTTTATTCTATCAGGTGGCCTCATGTAACCCTCCATGAACACACGGACTTGGCCTAGCCTCGGTTCTCCATCCTTTTAATGGGCTGAGGATGCTGAGCAGGGGGAGGTGGTGAGCTCTGGAGTTCAGGGGTGCTGAGCAGGGGGAGGTGGTGAGCTCTGGAGTTCAGGGGTGCTGAGCAGGGGGAGGTGGTGAGCTCCAGAGCTAAGGGGTGCTGAGCAGGGGGAGGTGGCGAGCTCCAGAGCTAAGGGATGCTATACTCCTACCTGGGTGAGGTCCCATGGGGACTAGGCAGGGATGGCCTCGTGAGAGAAGATTCCACCAGAGTGTGGCCCAGGCTGGACACAGAGCTGTGTGGAGGCAGAAGGGGACATCAGCAGGGAAAGAGTGGGTACCGCTGGACCTCACAGTGCACAGGGATTGAGGGAGCCATGTGGGCCTCACGGTTTCCCTGTGAACTGGCTACCCTTCCTTGTTCAAGATAAAACAGAGCCCCAAGCAATCCAACAGCAGTGAGTCTGAGAGACTCAAGAGTGAGTGTGCTCTGAGGCTGATGCAAGAGGCCAGACAAGGGGCCACCAGCAAGTGCTTGAGGTGAGGAAACCCAGGACTGGTGGCTCCTAGGAGAGGGTTTCAGATGGACGAGCAGCAGGGTAGTCAACCTGAAACATTGTTGTGTGTGTATGTGGTGTGTGGTGGGTGGTGTGTGTAATGTGTGTGTTTGTGGTATGTGGTGTGGTGTGCATGTTGGGGTGGTTCAACTACCTAACATGCACAAGACCCTAGTTTTGATCCTCAGTATTGCATAAACTGGTGGTGTGGCACATATCTGTAATCCTAGTCCTGGGTAGGTAGAGGTAAGAGCAGGAGCTCAGAGTCATTCTTGGCTACATTTTGAGTTCAAGGCCAACCTGGGATAATTTGAGATCCTGTGTCAAAAACAAAAAGGCCAAACATAGTGGTACATGACTTTATCCTAGCACTTAGAGACGAAGGCAGGAGGATCTCTGTGAGTTCAAGGCCAACCTGGTCTACAGAGTGAGTTCCAGGCCAGTCAGGGCTATGTAGTGAGATCCTGCCTCAAAATAAATAAAACAAAATTGCACTCAGGGGCTTTCCATAAGAGGAAGCAGAGGGACACCATTTCTGTGAATTATACACAGTCACTCACAATCCCTCCATCCTGTGTTTTCCTTACCGAGAGGATCCTAGCCTGCGGACATGATCGCCTGATGATGCCGGAGAGTTGGTTACTGGGGTCTGGTCCTCAGGGAACCTGGCGTGGATAGGGCTGGCCCCTTCACCCGCTCCTTTATTGTGAAGATACTGCAGGGAACAGATGTGGGGCTGGATGTCAGGGCTTTGGCACAGGGCCCGAAGGCAGGAGGGTGCCTTGGCGGGCTCCCAGCTTCAGGGGTATGAAAGGAACTTCTCTTCAGGGTGAATGCTGGCCTGGGCAGCGGAGGCACTGCTTGCATAACAATGACATCTCACAATGCCTCTGTTCAGATGGAGGCTGTAGAGTGAGACCAGTGTAGGCCAGGGCCACGGGGAGGTCAGAGCTGACCTAGGTGGCCCCCCACACAGGGTGTGACTAGAGGCCAGGGCCAGCCTCAGTCCTCACACCTGGACTTCAGATGCCTGGAGGGAGTGGCTGTGTGTGGGTGGAGCTTCCCAGACCCCGCCCTCTTTTGGCCTCTTCCTCTTGTGTGTGTACCAGAAGATGGTTAGCAGGAGGTGGGCCACCATTAAAGGACAGCAGTGAGTGTGCGTCTAACAGCGTGGCATGGCATGTCCCCAGGAAGTCTGAGAAAACTGGAACATGCAATTGTATCTGGAGAGTGGAGCTTGGCTCCCAGCTGGCTGGCGACCTTGAATCTGTCCTCTGTTGGGTACCCGGGGAACAAGGACAAGAAGTGGTGGTGCTGGTACATTCCATGCACTCCTCCCCAGGACACTGGCACTGAAGACTGCAAGGCAGTGTCCCCCACCTGCATGATGCCCGGAGCTCTCCATCAGCCAATCCTGCAGCCCTAGGCTACCCTGGACATAGCAGACCAGTCAATCTGGGCCAGTCTGAAGGGGGGCAGAGCGCTGATTGGACCTAGGACTAGAAGGGAACATGAGGGAAAGCTGCTCTGTGACAGACACACCTTTGTCATTCCAGTAGGGTTTAAAGGGGTTATGCTCACACTGGGAGACATGCATGCCTGACCAGACTTCTCCTTCCCCAGAAGCCACCAACTCCCTTCTCCCAGTGACACCCCCATAGGGGGAACTCCTAAGAGCTGAAGGCACCTGATTATGAGCAGTTCTGGGCAGGCTCCCAGATCAGACCTCGACAGTTATCTACTGGAACTTAGCATGGTCCTATAGCAGGCACCAAGGCCCTGTAGCCTGTGACCTTTGAGGGAAGTTTAGGGGAAAACATGGGCTTACAGTATGAGGAGAGTTTAGCTTGAGGAGATCTGGGGAGCTGAGAGAGGCTCAGGACCCATCAGGGAGCCCAGAGCTTCCTGGAGGAGCTCATGGACGCTTGCATCCTAAGGGCAGCTGGCCAGGATGAGGCAGCGGCACAGGAAGAAGGGAGGGCAGGTGCAGGGCCACAGGAGGAGCTGGGCAGCAAGAGGGCAGATGGAGGGGGGGGGCAGGAAGACACTGGGGGTGGGGTGGGGGTGGCAAGAGCTGGAACATGAATGAGATGCAGTCTAAACAGGAATGGGGCGTAGGGTGGTGGTACAGTAACTGAAACCAAAATGCATGGAAAAGCCAATTAAAATATACAACGATAGCCAGGCGTTGGTGGCGCACGCCTTTAATCCCAGCACTCTGGAGGCAGAGGCAAGCAGATCTCTGTGAGTTTGAGGCCAGTCTGGTCTCCAGAGAGAGTGCCAGGACAACCTCCAAAGACACACAGAGAAACCCTGTCTCGAAAACCAAACAAACAAACAAAAACAACGATAAAGAAAAGGGTAAAAGCAGTACCCTGTATGTGTGGACAACACTGCTGTTAGAACCCACAGGCTGTCAGATGAAAACTGCAGTGCCAGGCAGGTGACCTCTCCCTCCAAGTTGTTAATCAGGGAGGCCTCATAGCCCCTGCCCCCAAACAACACAGGCCATCAACACTGCTCTTAGCTGCCCACCATACCTAGACAGTAAGATCCTACTGCTGAACACACTATACGCTTTGGTTGTAGGACACAGAGAAATCAAGCCGGAGGAAATCTGGGCGAGCCCACTGTGCTGGCTAGCTGTCATGGTGCTAGAAGGTGACATGGAGGTTGCTGGGGGAGAAGAGTCATCAAAGTTCATACCTAGCTGTGATACAACCCAGGGAACAAGGACAAGAAGTGGTGGTGCTGGAACATTCCATGCACTCCTCCCAGGACACCGGCACTGAAGACTGCAAGGCAGTGTCCCCCACCTGCCTGATGCCCGGAGCTCTCCATCAGCCAATCCTGCAGCCCTAGGCTACCCTGGACATAGATGTCCCCACTGGTGCAACAGTGGCCATGACAAGTATATTTTTTTGATTGGATTTGAAGCCTGCTCCACAGGAAGGAGTCCATGCCCGATACTGTAAACATGGGCAAAAGCCTGTGGCTGGGGAGGTCACAGACCATAGGGAGGAAGCTTCTACTGTCATTTTGCTAAGTGGACATGGTATCAAACTGCCTTCTAAGTGTGTTATGCCTATAGGTCAGTACAGGCTTCAGCCTGTGTCAGAGAAGCTTCTGTTTGCACTGATGGTTACAGCGACCACTTAGCCCTAAACTGGACACCTATACTCCCCTCTCCAAGGCTCAGGGAGGAGGCTGCGAAGAGAGCTGTGACACACTGTCCCCAGGCATGGCATGGCTGCTGCCCTCACAGCCGCTGTGGTCACCTGAGCAAGACCTGAACAAAATGGGGCTGTCAGCATTCCAGGAGAGGGAGGGGAGGGGAGGGGCTCATAAGACCACACCCCTGTCAGGAACTACTGACAGCCAATGGTTCTGGGGGTGGGAGGACTCACTTTCTCCAGTGGTGTAGCCACTGGTGAGTTGCCCTTGCTCCCGTTACTAACCCCCTCACCACACACTTGCAAATGCAACTCTAATTAAACCCGGCGGGCCACACACAGAGAGACTTGAAGCAGGAGGCCCTGCTGGTAAGGAGTTAGGGGGGTGAGAGGGCAACCGAGGACATGAGAATAACCCAGATCTCTTTTATACATGTATGACATTGTCAAAGATTGAAAAGATTTTTAATGAAACAGTGTGGCCATCCTACTGACTGCATTGCCAACACAGTGGCTTGAGCAACAGCTGCCACTGGCTCATGGCGATGAGGGCCACAGCTGCAGGTGGGAAAGGATGAGCTGGCAGGAGTCTGGATCCTCTTGACTCTGGGGAAGGTGACGGTGACAGGAAGCAGGGTGGCTTCTAAGCTGAGCAAGGATGTGATCAGGCTGGCGTTTTAGACAAGACCGCACATGCTCAGGGTGCTGTGACCAGACAGGGGCTTGCTTGTGTGTCAGGGAGGAAAAGTGTGTATGGAATTAGAAGGCTGCTGGCATCAAGTGGTCCACATGGACCCAGGACGGGGCAGCGTGGCCAGTGCTGAAATAAGTTCAAAGAGGTAGAAGGAGCTACCTGGGCACCAAGGGGCCCGCCCGCGTGGCATCCTGCTCACCTGCACACTGAGTTGCCCAATCTCCAGCTCCAACTGCCGCACCTTTGCCTCACGCTCAGCCACCATGGCCCGCAGCTGGGCCACAAGGCTGCTGCTCTGTTGGGCCTCACTGTTGACCTTCTGGTCCAGGCGGTGCTGCGATGTGCGCCTCGATTCCTCCTGCACACTCAGGCTGCCCAGAATGTCCTGAAGCTGTTTCAGCTGGTCCTGAGGGTCAAGCCAGAGGGCAGTAGAGGCAAGCTCAGGCTACTTTGGGTAGGGAAGGACAGGACAGGAGCAGCTGGCTTCCCTCCCCAGAGCCATCCGACTTTGTCTAGGCCAAGACCTAGCAGGAGACACTAGCTATCCTACTGAGAGCCAGGAATACCCTCCCTGGGGACTCAAGGCTCAACTCTGATGCTTTCTGGCCTCAAGATTCCCTGCTGGGGAGACTGGGGCCAAGAAGGCCATGTGGGAGAAATGGCCCTCTAGGTACCAGAAGGCAGTTCAGTGGGTGGGTGCCCAGCTGGTAGGCAGACGTGAGTACAAAGAAGACACGATCCAGCACACCTTGCAAGGAGTCTGTCAGCACCTGACGGGAGGCCTGGTCCTTACGACGTATCCCCAAAGAGGACTCTAAGGACAGAGGTTCATTGCTTTGGGGCAAAGAGGAAGGACAGTGTGATGTGTGACAGGAGAGGGCAGCTGTTGTCACCTCAGGAGAAAATGGGAGACTCAGAACACCCTAGGCACAGAACCATCAGTGAGGTGCCCACAGGGGCAGCCTTACCCTGCAATCGGCTGTTCCCCGGAGGTGGGCACACCCTGTCTCATCCCCGTTACAGAGTCCCATCCCTCTTGGGTCCCAAGGCCACGGGTACCAGGGTCACAGCCATCTCCCTCAGGCACTCTGGGCTGCATCCCAGAGGCGGGCTTCACTGTAGGTAGCACACCTGGCATGGCTGTGTCATCACCACCCCCTGCCTGCATACCATGAGGGCATCAATCAGCTCATCGTCATGTCTGCCCTTCTCCACCAGGGTCAACATCTGGCTCCTGAGGGTCTTCACCTCACTGGACAGCACCTTGTTGCGAGACCGCATGCCCTCAAACTTCCTTCTCAGCTCCTCCAGCTCTGTCTGGAGCGTGTCCCGCTCACCGGCCAGTTTCTGTCATTAGAGAGTGAGAGCTGAGGCTAGCCCATGTTAGCTCAGGGCAACCCAGACCCCACTCACTGGGGAGACTCGGGGGTGGGAGGCAGCTGTTGAAGGTCACAGGAACAAGTGATGGCGCCAGGTTCCTGACCTCAGGCAGACTCAGTCCCCCCTTTTCCTGACAGGCACATGACAGACAGCTCTAAGGGACAGCAGCACACCGCTCCTGTTTTACAAGATAAACATTAGGACTGGCAAGACGTCTCAGGAGACAAAAAACTGAGCTTGATCTCTGGGGCCTACACAGGAGTGGAAAATGACTCCTGCAATTGTCTCTGGCCTCTACGTGTACACACACATGCACACATACTTACACACGTGTACACACACATGCACACATACTTACACACGTGTACTCACACATGCACACACACTTACACACGTGTACACACACATGCACACATACTTACACACGTGTACACACACATGCACACATACTTACACACGTGTGCACACACATGCACACATACTTACACACGAACATAGCAAATAACTAGAACTAGCTACATTGCCCATCAAACCCATTTCTTAACCAAAATGGCTCGCTTCCACTTTATGTTTTGTTTATGGTTTCTAACAGAAACAGCGCTGTTGGGGGGCTGACTACTGACCTCTCCCCATTTAAAGCACTCAGTAAAGGACTGCACAGTAGCGGGCTTCTGTGGCATACTCAGTAAGGCCTGCACAGTAGCGGGCTCTGTGGCATACTCAGTAAGGCCTGCACAGTAGCGGGCTGTGTGGCATCTCTGTAGTGTAGACACGGGAGTCCTGTCTGCATTCTGCACCTGGCTGTGCCTGCTACACACTAGATATTCACATGCTTCATGTGCTTCTGCGCCGCTCATTCCTCCCTTCACATGTTTCCTGTGGGCCTACCATGCACAGCGTGCCAGGTGCTGGGGTAAAGCAAGAGCGACACAGAATATTTGTCCCTAAGGAATGACACCATGGGAGACAGACTGATGCCTATTGAGACGTGGGGGAGGGATCACAGCAGAATACCATCAGAGGAGGACTCCCTAAAAAGGACAGCTGAGCAGAAGCGGGAGCTGATAAGAGCCCATGTCCTGTGTGTGCTCAAGCTTGCAGAGGGGCCGCCAGGGTGGCCCAGGGAAGCAGAGGCAGAGGCAGGGGCAGGGGCAGGGGCAGGGGCAGGGGCAGAGGCAGAGGCAGAGGCAGAGGGGCAGAGGCAGAGGCAGAGGCAGAGGGGCAGAGGCCAAGTTAGCTAAGCCCTTCACAGAGTCACCTGGATGGGTGGGGCAGGGAATGGCTTCTCTGGTCCCTTATCACTGGAAAGACGACAGCCTAGCTAAAGATCATAGACAAGTAGAATGGTAGGACATGATGGCGCCAGCCAGCTCTGGGCAGGCAGGGGCCACTGGTCACGTATTGCTCCACAGCTCTTGTGACCACCTGGACAGAGGGCGACAAATCACCTGTTTCCTCCCATGGCCACTGTGACTCGGGCATTATCTCTAAGCACCCTCCCGTGGAGCGAGTGCGGCAGGCCAGGAGCGGGTCACACCAGCACCAGCTAATCTCACGTCCTCTTCCTCACACACCAGCTAAGCCCTTTCCAATTCTCCCCACATCTCCAGAGTCACCCTCCACATCCCGTGTGTCCAGGCTGCCACTGTCAGCTTCCTACCTTGGTGTTAGTCCTTGGTCTCATCTCAGAGGGACTGTCACTCTGACTCTGTGGTGGTTTGAATCGGAATGGCCTCCATAGACTCGGGTGTTTGAATGCTTGGCCACAGGGAGTGGCTCTATTAGGAGGTGTGGCCTTGATGGAGGAGGTGTGGCTTTGTTGGAGGTGTGTCACTTAGAGGGTGGCTTTGAGGTCTCAGGAGCTCAAGCCTGGCCAGTGTGTCACTGTCACTTCCTGCTGCCTGCAGATCCAGAGCAGAACTCTCAGCTCCTTCTCCAGCACCAAGTCTTTTGCACGCCACCATGCTTCCCGCCATGACGACAACAGACTAAACCTCTGAATGGTAAGCCAGCCCCAATTACAGGCTTTCCTTTGTAAGAGTTGCCGCAGTCACAGTGTCTCTTCACAGCAATAGAAACCCTGACTGAGAGAGCCTCTCACACTTCTATGCCACCTCCCTTCCCCCAAACCATGCTACGTGTCTGAGGGTCAGGGGGACCATGGCTCTTCTCAAACCCAAGTGCCTTGGTGCTTATGGTGGCATGCAAGGTTCAACAGACCCAGCTGTGCCCAACCCTACAGCTGGCCTGTCTCCCTCTTCACTCCTGGCACAGCTGGGTGATGTTTCCCAGGGAGAGGGTATGAAAGGCCTTGCTGCTGGAAGCCTCAGTTAGGTGCTGAGGCTGAGCCAGATCCCATTTGCAGGCAGCAGTGAGGCGCAGCCTGGAGCACTGGCCCACCCACTCTGCTATTCCACTCTTGGGGGTGTGGTCCAGTGTGAGGGTTCGTTACCATTGTCAAGGTATCTGGATTTGGAAGCACCTAGAAGACACACCCTGGGCATGCCTGTAAGGGTGTTTCCCAGGGAAAAAGATCCACCCTGAATGTGGGAAGCACTTACCATTGGGGGCAGGGAGGGGTCCCAGACTAGATCAAAAGGGAAAAAACAAACAAAAAAACAGGAGGCGGCCAGCCACACAGCACCACCCCTGCCACCACGCCTTCCCTGCAGAGGGGTGGGTCCCCTCAACAGTGAGCTGAAACCAACCCTTCTTGCCTCACATTGCTTTCTCAGGCCTTTCATCACAATGAGGACAGTGATTAAGACACCCTGAACCCCCACATAATGCATTTCCTTTATAGGAAATTTTACATATAGCTCCCCTCAAATGGCCATGGTCGGACTACCTACCCTTCAAGGAAAGGACCCAGGGTGAGGCCCCACCCAGGCAGCCCAAGCTGGCTGCTGACAGAGCTGCCCCAAGGCCCCATTATCCTGGCCTATAAGGGATGGCCGCCTCCTGATGGGTGCCATGGATCTCCCAACCCTGTGTGCTGCAGCCAGTGGCTGGGCCCGCCTCACCTCCCAGCTCTCCAGCTTGTCCCTCTCCAGGCTGCGGATCCTCAGCAGGTTTTTCTCTTGTGCTGTCAGCTTCCGTGGGTCTGAACTGACAGCTATCTCAGAGCTTGAGGAGTCTGTGGTCTTGTTCTGACGCTGCCCCAGTTGCTTCTCCAGCTCTCGGACCTGAGGACAGTAAAGCTGGCTGACCCACCAGTCCACAGCCATGGGTCCTTCTACTTGGGTGCCTTGGAAGATTCTGCCAGAATGAAAATGGAGCCACCCTTCCAGGGTGTGGTACAGGATGGGCCCAGGCTAGGAAGATTTTCTGCAAATGGGGAAGCTGTCCAGGGGTTTAGTTTAGAAAACAGATGATTCTTGGTCAACGAGAAAAGTCCCTTCCTGTGACTGTGTCCAGCCTGCTGAACCCTCTGAACCTCAGTTGCCCCATCAGAAAAATGGGCCTGCCTGAGGGTACATTCTGCAACCTGCTGCAAGGAGGACTCAGCACCGTGACCCACCTGAGCCTGGCAAACCCCTGAAGTTCTTACGGGAATGACAAGTCTTAAGAGTTTACTCCAGGGGGCAGGAAGGGCCTGGAAGTCATATTTTAACAAAAGCCACAGGTGATTTTTTTCTTAAATATTCATTTTTATTAGAAATCTTAAAACTCATAGTGATTGTACAAAGCAGTGGGTTTTTCTGCAATACTTCCTTACATTTGCAGCCTTGCTTGAACCTATCCCACTCTCTTCCCCTCCCCTGGTTTTCTTCTCTTCATTGTCCATCTCCTCCAGGTAATTTTTTAAAAAGTCCTCTGAGAGAAACATGAAACATTTGCCTCTCTGAGTGTGGCTTGTTTTCCTTTACATAACGATCTCCAGCCCTGCATATACCATACTTGTGTTTTTTATTTATGGCTGAAATGCTGCATCTCTCTCCCTTCGTGCCCCACTGAGTCTGTTCTTCAGGCACTGCTGGGCATCCAGACTGTCGGGGACCTCTGTGTGTTCACCCGACTCCTCTGCGAATATATCCAGGAGTGGTAGAGCTGCATCACACCATAGCTCGGGCGACAGTTTCTGAAGTCCCTCCATATGGACTTCCACGGTAACTGCACCACGCACAGCCCACAGCGGTGTGTAAAGCTCTCCTTTCCTCACCTGCATATATATGCTGCTTTCTTCATGACCCGGCTCCCAATGGGATGGAATCCTAATACAGTTTTGATGTGTATTTCCCTAAGGCTAAGGACGTCGACTATTTAAATAGTATTTGTGGGGGCCGGGAGATGGCTCAGTGGGTGGAGCACTTGCCAGGCAAGTGTCCACACAGAAGGCAAGGCAGGTATGGTGGGCCACCTGTAATCCCGGCACTTGAGACACAGAGCCAACGGAGCCCTGGGACAAGCTGGCTCGTTAGACTAGCTGAGTCTTTGAGCTCTGGGTTTAGCAAGAGGCACTGGCTGCAGTAGAGTGGAGGAAAACACCTCGTGTCTACTCTGGCCTCTATACACAGGCACACACGCACACACGCACATTTGTTAACCATTTGCATTTCTTCTCTTCAGAAGTGTACATTTTTAAAAATGTGTTTGCTTGTTCATTTGTTAAGGATATTAATCTTTAGAGCAACAATGGGCAGAGACTGCCTCACTGGGTCGCTTGTCTTCACCATGCTGGTTGTCTCATTTGCTCATCCTTAGTTCCATCTGAGATGTGACCCTCATCTTGCTTCCGTGTCCTCAGCTACTGGATCCTATTCAGGTCTGTGCTACATCTGTTTCTTCCTCAAGCATTTTCAGAGTTTTAGGTCTTACACTGAGGTCTCTGATACATTTTGAGCTGACATTTTGCAGGGTGAGGTAGGTAGACAGCACCATACTAGAGGCAGTCTGCTGTGTGTGTGTGTTTCTTATACCAAGAATCAGATGAGGCCAGGCATGCTGAGGTGGTGTGGCAGTGGGTAAGGACATCAGAGATCCATGCGATAGTGAAAACACCACTTAAGGACACTGACCATGGATCTGTTAGGCTGGTGTGCTGGGGACTTAAAGGTAAGGAGATTCACACTCATGCCTCTAGGGCCCCAAAGTTTTGGGGGTCTGTTCCCCTTCATGCTGACTTCAAGGATGTCACAAAGGATCCTAAGGAAAAAGCCACTAGGAGGGTGGCACTCCCTGATGGCTGGGAATGCAGGTGGCTATGCCCGAGGAATGGACGGAATCACACATTTTCCACAACCTTCTCAGTCTAAAGGCAAAATGAGGGTGTTGGTGGGCGGGGCGGGAAGCTCTAGCTATTCACTACTCCTTGCTTCCTCCAGGATGGCGTTGTGCTGAGAGTCTCCACCCCCACACATGCTGCCTCAGCCATTTCTGCCCATACCCCAAGGCTTGGAGAAACAGGTGCTGCTGTTATCCCCATTACAGAGACGTGGGAACTGAGGCAGTAACGTGTGTGCAGACCCACAGGCGTTGAGGGGAGCTCTGGTGTCTGAACTCAAGCCAGTCAGCTTCAGAGCTGCTGCTATTAACTTCCAAAATACTTTGAAAACGAAAAGGGAGACCAGGCTGTTTTATTTTGAAAGTTTGAAAGTCACAAAAAACTTTCAAAAGGACTGCAGGCCTCTGGGATGAAACTGTAAAAAGCCACCATCGTAGCAGTCACGCAAATTCACACAAACTTGGGAAAAACACGCCTGTAGAGAAGCAAATCTCACTCAAGGCTGCTGGCTAACTGCCAGGGCCAGACACATGAAAAGCATGGGGTAAGTGCATGTATGTGGGATAACAAATGACAATAGGCCAGAGAATGGGCGCCCTCCACTCTGCAAGAGCATGCTGTGCAACCCACACAACACACACAAAAATAAAAGGCCCAGAGACTGATACTGGGGTTCAAGCCTCAAGCTGAATATAAAGTATCTGGTCACTAGCTTCTCACCTCTACCTCAGGCTGAATGGGCTGATCCTGTCTCCACGAGCTCTCATCAAGCTTCAGACTGTCATCTCTCCTTAGTGTGGCTGGAGAATGAATGCCTCCTACTGAATACTGAAGTTCCTGCTTCTATCTTTTTTTGTTTTTGTTTGTTTGTTTTGTTTTTTGAAACAGGGTTTCTCTGTGGCTTTGGAGGCTGTCCTAGAACTAGCTCTTGTAGACCAGGCTGGTCTCGAACTCACAGAGATCTGCCTGCCTCTGCCTCCCGAGTGCTGGCACTAAAGGCGTGATCTCTGTTACTCTTTTAGACTGATTCAATCTCGTGTATCCCTGGGTGGCCTTGAACTCAGAGATATCCGTCTACCTCTTAATCCTGACTCCTAGGATTAAAGCTTCTGGCTGCTGGGATTAAAGGTGTGTGTCACCACTGCCTGATCTCTATAGCTTGAGGCTGACTTTGCTTTTCTGAATCCTCAGGCAAGTTTAATAACCACAGATAATATATCACCCCATTGGCGTGTTTGCTCCAGAGTCTAAGGATGGCCAAGGCAGTGTTTTGGGGGGCACGTCAGGCCTTCTGCTCAGGGCCAGGGACGTCTGGTGACTCACCTTACTTTGTAGAACTAGGATTTGTTGAGCTCGCCCCCTCCAGGTCCCAGGTGAGGTCAGGAGCTGCTGGACATTTACATCCTCCCCAACTTCACTGGCCAGAACCTGAAATAAAGCAAGGCGCTCGGTAGAGACAGGCGACAGGCTGCCCAGGCCCTTCTCGCTGCTCACTGTGGGGACTTAGAGCTGGTGTGGAGTCCTGATGCCCGCTTCATCTGCCTGGCACCTCAAAGGCCCAGGTCAGCTCGTCCTGTGGGGGTGGCAAGTCCTCCTCTGCGACACTCTGATCAGTGCCTGCTTCCTTGCACTACTCTGTTATCACAGAATTCTCGTTGGCTGAGGAAGCACACTGCCCTTTGTGACAGCCACTGCCAAGTGTCTCCAGGAAGCATACAGGAATCAAACGAGGCTGCTGTGCCTCAGGAAGGCCTGACTCTGTGGCCACCAAAGTTGTACAAAGCTAGGCCTACCCTCAAGGCTTTGAGGTCGGCTCAATACCCTCCGTATGTCACCAAGCTGATCTCCATCCAGAAGCCTGAGTCTCTGGCCCTTGTTCCCACAACAGAACATTGTTTTGGAACTCTTGGCCAGTCTGAGTGGTTCCAGCGAGGAGGACAGGTGCCAGGGATGCACTACATCAATACCAACAGATCAAACCAGCAAGCTTCACCTGAGCATTTCCTTTAAAAGGAGCTTTTGTATACTGAATGTATACTGAAAGGAGTATACATTCCCTGTTCACTTTCTATGCTGTGGGTCACAGGGGGCAGCAGGTGGGTGGGTCAGGCAAACTTTTGAGTCACAGGCAAGGCAGCATACTGAGTGGAAACTTTGGGTCTACCAGGGTATAGGACAAGTGGGCAGGAGAGGTGAAGGGAAGGCTCCCAGGCCCCTCCCTCGTGGGCAGAGCTCATCTTCCCAGTCCATAGGCAACCCCCAGGGAGCCAGCCACCCTGTCCCCTGATCCAGCACAAGCAGGAGTGAGCACCCTGTTTCAGAAGAGAAGCCAATGGGCCATCATGGTTTTTCTGGGGTCAACCCTGGCCACATGAGAAGTCCCACACCCTGACCCTGGAGGACCTTCTGGGCCATTCGGAGTTCCTGCTTCGCAGACTGGATCTGGTTGCGCAGGTCACTCATCTTCAGGTTGGTGGCTGCAAGTCTGTCCTGTAGAGCTTTCACCTCTGGAGTCTCCAGCTGGTTGGGAAGGACAGAGAGAAAGCAGTTTCTTGTGGCCTAAACGCTAATGACAATCAGGGTACTGTTGGTTTAGGTCGAATCCAGGCGGGTCAAGGGCTGGGGTCCTCAGAAATCCCCAGCTCCTTGAGACACAAAGCAGAGGCGGGGCCTGCACTGAACCCCAGCTGTCCAACCTCAGGGCTGAGCTCCTTGCTCCACGTACTGCGTGCCAGTGTGCTCATGCACACATACACACACACACGCACACACACACTCATATACTCACACACACATACACACACACACGCACACACACACTCATATACTCACACACACAAACACTATAGACAATGTGAAATAGGATGCCTCACACACACACACACACACACACACACACTCAGACGGCCAAGGCTGGAGCAGGTTCTGTGCCTCCCAGATACTCCTTGGTATGGCCACTCTGTGCTGCACCCAGACACAGGCTTGTGCTAAGAGTATCCTCCATCCATCTATAGAAAGCCACACCAGCTGAGCAGACACATTCTGTAGTCCAATGCTCTACCACTGAGCTATACCCCCACAGCAGGCACATTCTGACCCCCCAACTCAGGGCCTTTTCTTCTGCAGTTGGCGTTGCCAGCACAGACCATGAGTCTGCCAGCAGAATGGGCGCTGTGTGTTTACTTTAATGAAAACATGACTTAAAACAACAACAACCCTGGGGGGCTGGAGAGATGGCTCAGGAGTTAAGAGCACTGGCTGTTCTTCCAGAGGTCCGGAGTTCAATTCCCAGCAACACATGGTAGCTCACAACCATCTATAATGAGATCTGGTGCCCTCTTCTGGTGTGCAGATGTACATGGAAGCAGAATATTGTATACATAATAAATAAATAAAATCTTTAAAAAAAAAACAACCCTGAAAGACACAGGCTGGAACTCAGGGATGTCTGCTTTTTTCTCTTTTCTTCAAAAAATAATGTCTGAATTGGGTGCACACCTTTGATTCTAGCACTCAGGAGGCAGAGGCAGGCGAATCTCTCAGAGTTCAAGGCCAGCCTGGTCTACATAGTAAGTTCTAGGACACCCAGGGCCACACAGTGAGAACCTGTCTCGATGATGATACAGTGTTTGAGGCAAATCTTGGAAATAAATGGTTAATATACTGCCTGTCAGAGCTGGAGAGAAGGCTCAGAGGTTAAGAGCATTGACTGTTCTTCCAAAGGACTGGGTTCAATTCCCAGCACCCACATGGCACCTCCCAACTGTCTGTAACTCCAGTACCAGGGCTTCCTACACTTTCACACAGATATACATGCAGGACAAACACCAACACACATAAAAATAAATCATATAATATATATATATATATATATACATACATACATACACACACACACACACACACACACACACACATATATATATATATATATATATATATATATTCTTTTTAAGTAGATATTCCTGGGACCTCCATAATTAAGCCATTCATAGTCCTTCCACTGGTGATGAAAATCAAGTCTGGAGAGGAGCAGAGGTAAGCTGGCATGCATAGGGCTGGGGGTAGCACAGGGGATTAGAACCCTGGACCTTCTGCTATCCTGCCCACGTCTCCCAATCTGAGCTCCTGTTGCAACACTGCTACAGACTGCTATGGCAACAGTGAGGTTGGTAAGCAAGCTAAGTACCCATCAGGCCATGCTGGGACTCCTGCTCATGCCCCAGTGGACCAGGGATTTGGGCTTTGGGGAAGCAGGGTGGCCACAATGGGTGTCTGCTTTCTTTAGCAGGCACCAACAGTAACTCCTGTAAATGCTAGCATGAAAGAAAGGCCCAACAGACCAAGTCTACAGACGTCCGTGGGGCTTGGGGCAGCCTCCTGAAAAGCAGTAGTCAAAGAAATCAGGCCTGACCATGGGGTTCAGCAGTCCCGACTGCATTTAACACCACTGCCAGGATAAAAGTGAAAAATCAATGTGGACAGTATTTGCAGAGTGGAGGATGCTACAAAATACAAGCAGATCCTTGCAAAGATACACATTTTCTACCCTTGTAGCCAGCTGCCTGCCACTCCCCCTTTCTGCTGCTAGGCACCTATCTTCTCTCTGGTAATGTGTATCTTTAATCTGCCCTGGGCTGAGAAGCAGCAGCCTCTCCCCATGCTCAGTGCCCTGTTTGGGGCACTGCAGGAGTGCATGAGCAGCCTGTACCTCTGGGATCTGGCAGCATCGTGGAAGGCTGTGCAGAGCATGAGCAGAACACATAGGACACATCTGGATCCAGAGCCGGGCTTCGATGCCCACTCCAGACCTCAGTTCCTCACCACACTGAGGGGCTTAATGCTTGACCTTGGGGGCAGGTGAGGCGCAGTGGGGGGGTGCATGGAGGGTGTGTGGGAGGCACATACATGGGAGGTGTACTAAGGCCCCTTGGCTTGGGTGGGCTGCTGACAAGGGGACTAAGTTCAGATGGCATTCTGGAGAGGCCAAGGAGCTGGGCCCAGTCTCACTCCCAGCCACCACAGGCTTTGCCCTGGCCCACACCACAGGCTGTTTCTTTTGAAGAAACAGCTGTAGTGCCTGTGTTCTGGCATTGCCAAGTGGGTACATCACAACCTTCTGAAACATCTTGCAGGCTGGAAGGCCTTCAGGTACATTCTGGAATGTACCTTGGAGGGGACCGAGGCTGGAATGTGTGGTGAGAAGCAGGCCTCTAGTGTGTAGCTGCCCCTTGGGGGTACAATGGTCAGACATGGTTTTGCTCTGTCTTTCAGCTGAAGATGACAGGGAAAGGACCTGGCCTGGACACGATGAGGTTTGTAGCTTGGCCCACTCTTCTATCAGGGACCCAGGCTCCTTAGGCTGCTTACAGAGCCCATCTGAGACCCCTGCTGCAGTGGCCACTCATGAGCCCCTCCCTGGGTGTCCCTAACCTGGGTTATGTTGGTTCATGTCCTTTTCCTGTTGTGGGCTCTGGGCTCAGGGCTCAAAGCAAACGCCGCCTAGTCAGCATCCGGGCGAGCCAGCTGTGTACAATGTTCTGGCTCCCAGCATCCATGCCTTGAAGGTGCTGTTCCTCCTGGAAAGCCTTCACCACCCACTAGCCTGCAGACAGAGGGTAAGCTCCTGTTGCCAGTTCAGACCTGGACTGTTTCTGAAGGCCCATCACACCCTGCTACATGGCTGCTCCATTTCCTCTTAGACCCCTCTGTTGTCAGAAGCTAGGTTTAAATTCCTGTGGGACAAGGCAGACAATCCTATCAGGCTAACAAGAGACCAACAATGCTGCCCAGGGTAACTCAACTTCAGGAACCTCGGTGGCCTGGATAAAGTCAACAACAGGTTGGCAGTGTGCCTTGGTGGGATGGGTCCCAAAGAACATTGTCTACCTCAAACGAGAGCACTGCGGCTGCCTCGACAGACACGACACTGTTTACACATTCATGCCCACACCCCCCGGGGCCCACGGCTGCACACCTAGGACTGAATGTCTCTCAAGATCAGCAAGCAGTGGCTTGATTTTGAGGCAGGGACAAGAGCGGACATGAGACAGAGGGAGGAGCACTGTGCCCTGGGGCCTGACCTCCTGTCACAGCTGGTCTGGCTTCCTGAGAAACCCCTGGTGTGGCTGGTGGGACATGGAGGCTCAACATCCCTAGCAAGCCATATATGGCCTGATTACCTTTTCATGGAACTATATTCACATGGCCTATCTACTTTTCTTTTCTTTTTTTTTTTTTTTTTTTTTTTTTTTTTTTTTTGAGACAGGGTTTTTCCGTATAGCCCTGGCTGTCCTGGAACTCACTCTGTAGACCAGGCTGGCCTCAAACTCACAGAGATCCACCTGCCTCTGCCTCCAGAGTGCTGGGATTAAAGGCGTGAGCCACCATCTGGCACATGGATGGCCTACATTTTGTGTGGCCTGTTCATTAGCTAAAAAATGGGTCTGGAGAACGAATCTGAAAATCTGCAGGGCAGCACAGGGGCCCCCAACACTGCAGTGTCTTGTAAAGAATGGGGCTCTCGGGCGGTGAGGGGGGTTGGGGGGAGGATGGCTCAACTGGTAAAGGGCAAGTATGAGGACCTGGAGTCAGTCCCTAGCGCCCACGTGGAAAGCTGGTAACAGGAGGATCAATTCTAACCCAGCTGAACAGTTCAGCCAGCCAGTGAGAGAGACCCTGTCTCAAAGGAGCAGTGCTGTTCCTGAGGACGACCCCTGAGGTATAAATGCACATGTGCACATAACACATACACATGCATACAGATTCAAGGGGAAAAAAAAAAACAGAACTTCTCTGAGCAGTTGGGAGCGAACCTGCCAACAGGATAAGGCTTTGTGGGTGTCTCTCCGTGAGGAGACTACAGAGGAGAGGGCCACCTGGGAGCAGGCAGGTAGGCAGACTGTCCTCCCCCCTGGTCTTGCCTCCCCAGGGCTTGAAGGCCCTGACTCTACCAGTTTTTCCCCAACCCCATGGAAACTGGCTCAGAGCTGGGCCTTCCCTTGCGTCTGCCAGGCATCCTGGCCACAGGGCATAGACAGGAGGAGGCCTCTGAGGAGGCCACAATGGCAGACAAAAGTCCTTGGCTGAGCAATGGGTGGGGGACCATGGCAGGGAACATGAGAACCCACTGGGGAGGGGAGGCTCAGGTGATGGCTACCTCACAGACTTAGCACAGAGGAGAACTCGTACCAAGGCTCTGTCTCCCGTCTGGGTCCTTGATGGCTTGGCCCCCGTGTCAGTGGTCCCCTTGGCCGGCGGCTTGGCTGGCGCCATCTGCAGCTGAGAAAGCAAACCTGGTATTAATATTTGGTTCTGCTCAGCAGCTGCACAGCCACTCAAGTACCTGCTGCTGCTGGGTGTGTGCCCCGCCCCCAGTGTCTGAGCCCTTGGTTCACATGTTGACCATGAATGAAAGGGATGCTCCTTTCCAAGCTACTTGTGACAGGAGAGGTTTGATTGGTGGTCCACCCTGCTTCCTAGTTTCCCTGGAAGAGCAGCCCACTAATAAATAGCCAGAGCACAGCCACACTCTCTGTGGTGGTTTGGATGAAAATGGCCCCCATAGACGAATAGGGAGTGGCACTATTGGGAGGTGTGACCTTGTGTGTCACTGAGGGGTGGGGGGGTGCTTTGAGGTTTCAGAAGCTCAAGCCAGGCCCAGTGTCTCTCTCTTCCTGTTGCTTGTGGATCCAGATGCAGAACTGTCAGCTGTCTCTCCAGCACCGTGTCTGCCTGCACGCTGCCTTGCTTCTCCCCATGACAATAATGGACTAAACCTTTGAGACTGTAAGCCAGCCCCAATTAGATGTTTTCCTTTATAAGAGTTGCCATGATCGTGGTGTCTCTTCACGGGAATAGAAACCCTATGACATTCACTCAGCCGAGGAGACAGAGAATAAAGATAGCATAGACTTGTGATGGGGAAAGTACTTTTGTGTATGTTTATCTTATTGATTGTTACATAAAATACTGTTTGGCCAATGAGACAGCAAGTTAGACACGACTAGAAGTCAAAGAGGATTCTGGGAAATGTAGTAGAGAAGTGTGATCCAGGCAGGAAGTGACATAGCAAGGAGACTCATTTAAAGAAGGAGAAACAGGAAGCGTTTCCCTTTTCCCCTCCGCTCCTGCTCCAGCAGCACAATGTGATCCACTGGCAAGGAGGGATGCCAATAAGGCGTCCGGTAAGATAAGTCTTATAAAATATATAGATTTATGATAATTGAGACTGAGCTAACAGATGAGAATCCTAGTCATTGGCCAAGCAGCTTTGAACCTAATACAAGTTTCTATGTTTTCATTTGGGCCTAACTCGGGCAGGCGGCTTTTGGCGGAAAGATTTATGGTAACAGACTTGGGCTACACGGGTGACAGAGGTGCCTACTACATGGTGGCCATACTCATTTGGGGCATGGCTTCCTCTCACGTCCCTGATACCGTCCTGTTCAGCTCTTGGCCATACTGGTCGCCTGCGCTTTCTCCCCACCACACACTATGAATCTCTGGACCCTTTACACGGATGCCGTCCCCACAGCCTCTGGCTGGCTTGCTGGGCACCCCCCTTCAAGCAGCTCCTGCCACTGTTGCCCATCAGGGTGTTGCTCTCTTTTCCTTGGCCATGGCTGGGTCCTGTCTGTGCCACACACCCGCATGGCTCCCTCTCCCAGAAGTGAAACCATCCATGCCTGCTCTATTCTCTCCAGTGTGTGGCACAGAACCTGAGCCAAATCTCTACAAATACGTCCCAGGATGAAGACACTCATGCTCAGTGCCAAGTGTCAGGGTCAGGATGGATGGTGCAGGGCCATGGGACGACTTCAGGACCAGGAAATACTACGATGGCTCCCTCCAGCCCACTTCACTCCTGAGGAACCAGAACGACTGGGCTGGAGCAGCAGGGTTTGTGCTTAGCTGGGAGGGAGGGGACACAGAAGGGTCACAACTCCTGGCTGTAACAGCTTCAAATAAGCAGCAGTTTCTGCAAATGGATTGAACCGTGATTACCTAGTGCATTCCACACACTAGGCTCCCTTCTAAGGGTTGCCACTGTGGCCACCTGGTGGGTGGGGGCTGTGATACAGAGTTCGGGGCCTGCTAGCAGCTTCAGCTGGAGCACCATGTCCATCTCCCTTAGCTACATAATCCAGGTTTCTTCTCAACAGCCAGTGTCCCCTAGCTGCCTGTCACACTCCTTTCTCTGGATGTGGCAGAAACTAGGGTACTCACTGCAGACCCTGTGCCCTGTGACCTCCCAGTGTGGCCTCGCTCTGGAGTCCCCTCCCGAGGAAGAGCAGCCCAGGCCCTTACTTCGTGCTCCAGCTCCTGGATGCGATTAGTCAGCTGTTTTACCCTGACCTTGGCACTCTCTGACTCTGCCATCAGTCCCCGGTTCTTTTTGGACAGTTCAATAATTTTGGTGGCAACCAGATCTCCAGCCATCCCAGTTGTCCCTGAAATGACAGAAATGGCAAAATCCATTGAAAATGCAACCTGCACCTCAAATCTACACAGCTGTTCAGAGTCAAGCAGGGCCTCCAGGAAGTCATGGCCTCCAGCAGGTAAAGAAATCGCATTTCAGCTGAGTTTGGGGTAAGATGTAGGGTACACACCCATATTTCTCGTAGAATGCAGCCCTCAAAAGGCTGTGTGGAGAAGGGCTCTAGAGGGAAACAACTGACAACTATCCAGAGAAGAACAGGAATGACCCAGGGATGCTCTTCCCGGGGGCAAATTTCCCCAATGCAATAACAAAACCCACTATTAGTCACCAGAAGACTGGCCAAGGAAGCCGGAGGAGCAGGGAGGGGGGGCCGGGGATGGTGGAAAATCTTTCCCCTGCCTCGATGGGGAATGTACTGTGTATGTTTATCTTATTGACTGTTAAATAAAATACTGTTTGGCTAATCAGATAGCAAGTTAGACAGGACTAGGAGTCAAAGAGGATTCTGGGAAATGTAGTAGAGAAGTGCTGATCCAGGCAGGAAGTGACATAGCAAGGAGACTCATATTTAAGCGAAGGAGAAACAGGAAGGGCCCCCTTTTCCCCTCCGCTCCTGCTCCAGCGGCAAGATGTGATCCCAGCAAGGATGGATGCCAATAAGGTGTCCGATAAGATAAGTCTTATAAAATATATAGGTTTATGATAGTTAAGACTGAGTTAGCAGATGAGAAATCCTAGTCATTGGCCAAGCAGCTTTGAACCTAATACAAGTTTCTGTGTATTCATTTGGGCCTAACTCGGGCGGGTGGCTGGTGTAAAGCTCACATGTGTCGGTGGGGCTCAGTTTGCTTTTGGTGGAAAGATTTATCATAACACTGCCTCCCCCAGTCCTTCCTCCAGCACAGCCTTGCTCCAACCTGAAGCTGCAACCCTGGGGATAAACATGGCAGTGAGTGAAGACAGCCTTTAAAACTTGCATAGAAGCTACAAGCAAAGGCCTCGGTGCTGACCATGAACTCTTCCACACAGTTGGCAAAGTACACATAAAAGCCACATGGTGGTTCACATCTGCAATCCCTGATCAAGAGTTCAAGACCTGCTTTAGCTACACAGAGAAATAGAGTATAGCCTGTGTCGCATGAGATCTTGTTTGGAAAAAAGAAAACCCACCCATTTGTAAAATTCGTAAGCAGGACACAGAGGGACCTAGATGGTACTAGCGTTTCCACAGCCTCGGCAGGTGGAGACAGGAATTCTAACCAGAGGATACGCCGTGCTTGGTGTGATTCTAAGTTAAACGAGAAATGGATCTGTGCCTGGTGCACTAGTAACCCAAGCACTTAGGAGGCCGTCTCATCAGGATCAGTGTGCTGTGCTCTCCAGGAGCACTGTGCCATCAGGATCAGTGTGCTGTGCTCTCCAGGAGCACTGTGCCATCAGGATCAGTGTGCTGTGCTCTCCAGGAGCACTGTGCCATCAGGATCAGTGTGCTGTGCTCTCCAGGAGCACTGTGCCATCAGGATCAGTGTGCTGTGCTCTCCAGGAGCACTGTGCCATCAGGATCAGTGTGCTGTGCTCTCCAGGAGCACTGTGCCATCAGGATCAGTGTTCTGTGCTCTCCAGGAGCACTGTGCCATCAGGATCACGGTCCTTGACAGTTCACACAGCTAAGGCAGAGGCATCACTGTAGAGCCTGTGCCTGGTCCACACCCATGGTGCCGAAGTTACCCCAAGACCCGAAGGACCAGAGCCCCTCACACCTCTGGCGCCAAAATCTCCACCAAGAGAATCAAAGATCAAAGTGTAGCCCCGACCTACAGGGCCATCATAGCCGCTGGGGAAGGTGGCATGCACCCCTTGAGGGCGTTTGGGTCCCTGAACCTTTTGTGGCGCACAGCAGTTGCTGGTAACATCCAAGCCAAGTGCCAAGGAGAAACCGACCCTGCCAGCAACTCCACAGACCACCGTGACCATGTGACCCTGCACTGCTCTCTGGAGCCTATCAGACTGCTGTGCCCGAGTTACCTGTGAAGGCAAACCTGTCCTCTTCTATTTTCTTCTTGAGGTGTTTGATCTCAAAGTCTCTCTCCTTCAGCAGCTTGTACAGCCGCCCGTTCTCATCGACTGTCTCCCTGAGTTCATTACGAAGCTGCTGGATTTCGTCTTCCAGCACCCTGCAAGGGAAAGGTGGGCCTACTGCTCCTCATAGGCCCTGACCAGGGCCCAGGATCCCGCTTCCTGCCGAGGCCTGAGGTACCACGTTTGGGCACTAGAGGGCACTATGAAGTTGTCTGTACAAAATAAGACTGAAAACTTAGGTGACTAAGTGTGGACGCACCATGCAAAAAGGCTTGGATCCCGCTGCTGGTTTCCTCATATGAGTCATATAAAACTCTCATTGTGTGTGTTTGTGAGCGTGTGTGTCCATGTGTATGGGTGCATTTGTGTGGGTACAGTCTGAAGCCAGCAAAAACAGGTTCTGAGCAAAGCTAGGAGGCACCATGGCAGTCTGCACACATTGATGTGCTCCAGGGCACTGTCAAGTCCAGAGCAGTGAGGACGCCTGGACATCCCTCCACCCTCGTCACACCCATGGTTTAAAGAAAAGTAAGGAGTCAGGAATCTGCAGTGCATCAGAGCAGTGATGTTCGCACGCTGCGGCCTCTCGGGTGTGTGGGGGAGGGAGTGCTGGCAGAGGGGAAAGCAAGGCAGAACCAGGATGATCTACAAACTATCAATCCCATCTCATTCCTTGGAAACGAGGGTTTCAGCACAATGATTGCCACGCCTTGAGGAGTTTACAGTTCTTCCATCTGGCGTTAAACACACCACCCAGCAGCTACAGGAGGCCTCAGCTGTCTGTGTCAAACCCACTTTAAGCTTAGGAACACTTGCCCAGTTGAACCAGTTGTCTAAATCTGCAACTGCTCTGTTCTCTCCAACATCCCCGCTCTCTCCACCTGCCTGCATGATGCTAAGGAGTCCTTACCTCTTCTCAAAGATGGTTTTCAGGTTCTGCTCCTCTGTGTCGAGGAGGCTGAGGTTGTCTGGGATCTCCGCAAGCTCCTCCTGGTCGGCTTTGCCTTTACAACTCAGCTCTTTCTCCTTCTTTTTCTCCATGTGTTTTTGTAACCTTCTGTGCTGCAGCTCCTGCATGGCCTTGAACTGGAGCCTCAGAGTGTCTGCTGAGCTTTCTTCTGCCGCCATCCTGCCCTGAGAACAGAGAAGCCTTGGCATGTGACATGATCTGGGCCATCTGGGGCTCAGATTCTCTACTGAGCCATCGGTGAGTGGAGAAGACATTCAGAGTCCCTCACCTCAAATCCACTGAGCCAAGGCTGAGCAGAGACCCCGACTGCCAGTGTCAGCAGCAGACTCATTGTTGTGACACATTTGCCTGGTCCCTCTGTCATCAGCTTTCAACCCTGGTTGCACATTAGTGTCTCACAGGAGCTGCCAAAACTAAACACGTCTGGGCCCATCCTAGACCAGCTAGATCCCAACCTCTGGAAAATGGGCTCCAGCCATGATTTCTTCTTTCAAAGTCGAGGGATAGATCTGGGTGATGGAACATATCTACAGTCCCAGACTTTGTATCCCAGCAGGAGAATCAGGAGTTCAAGGTCAGCCTGGGCTGTGCTCATCAAAAACCAAAACTAAATAAGTACACAATTTATTTGAGGTATAATTTACACACATTAAAGCACATACATCATGAATGGAAAGATCAGCAAATCTTTCTACCTATGCTTCTGAGGTGACCCACTGCTGGGGCTCAGAAGACAAGCCCCAAAGGGCTGTGTGTGACCTGTAAGCAGGAAGAGCCCCTGGAGTCAAGTCTGTCTGACATGCATCCTTGCCCCATGTCTGTTCTTCCTTCCCACGGGCAAGGAGAGGGGCTTAAGCTGCCACAGAACCGTATCTACCTCAGGACATAACGCCAACTAAGCCACCACTGTTTCCTGTCCCCTCTCTGAAACTTCACTATCAGTTATTGCGTGCGCAAAGATGATCCGTAGTCAGTAAGGTTAGGATATCTTTATTCAAATAAACACCAGCCAAATGCAAACCAGAGCGTGCCAGGGGCAGCAAGCTAGCAAGGCCAGAGCCAAGGGGCTCTCCATGTGTCTGCTGCTCCTTAAGACTTGCCCCCCCATCATCCTCGACTTCCCCTGACCACGCCCTCATGGGCGTGTCCAGACACACCTGTAGGGGCTCATAGGAGGCGGGGCTACAGTGTCTCCCTACAATTCCCCTTTTAGTCTAAAAGAGGATTAAAGCTGTATAGTGGTGGCTGGAGAGATGGCTCAGAGGTTAAGAGCACCGACTGCTCTTCCAGAGGTCCTGAGTTCAATTCCCAGCAACCACATGGTGGCTCACAACCATCCGTTATGAGATCTGGTGCCCTCTTCTGGTGTGCAGATATACATGGAAACAGAATGTTGTATGCATAATAAATAAATAAAATCTAAAAAAAAACCTGTTAAAAAACTTAATAGTGTAAAACATCCAAAATTAACAATTGTAAAGGTGAAATACAAGAAGATACAATAATCTGCTATTGCACATCCTAACTCTGTCTATTCCGGCTAAGCCCTAAAGTCATGTGGAAAGGGTGTCTAACTTGAACACCTCCTTCCAATCCCAACTCTAAACAATAAGAAAGTTCTTCCTAACTAGGCTTACACTACCCTAATAGACAATAATGGGAACGGGGGCATAGCATCTTCTAAGTTACTTCCTGCTGAAACGGGACGATGGCAGCCTTGAGGAGTCCTGTGGGAAAAAATGTTAGTATAGTAAAAGTCTCTATTGGGTTATCTCCAGTCCATGTTAGATGGGATTTGCTTGATTGAAGATCTAGGTTGAAATCCTCAACTTGATTGAAGTCAGTACTCGAGGCTCTGGCCGGAGTGTCAGTTGAAATGGAGTGAGTTGGATCCAGTGCAGTCGAAGCCCAATTCCTTTTCCGGAGCATCCAGGGATTGTCGTCAGAGAAACGTTTGCTTGCATATGTATGTATGCTGGGAAAGGCCACCATGGGAAAATGACAATTATGAGAGGGCGCAGTCCTGTTGTGCAGGACTTTAATGTCCAGAAGCCACTGGGCCTTGGTTGTAGCTGCCATTTGGATGTCTGAATAGCTCCCAGTTTATCCCAGAATCAAACTTCCCGGACGGTGTGTTTGTTACCTTTCTCATTGCTGTGGACAAATGTGTGGCAAAAGCAACTTAAGGAAGGAAGGGCTTAGTTTGGTTCATAGTCTTGTAGGATACAGTCCACCACGGTAGGGACGGGTGGCACCCAGGAGTGGGTGGTCACAGGGAGTCCACTCTCAGGAAGAGCGCGGTTACTCCACTCCCCTTTTCAGTCCCCTACCTTTTATTTAGTGTGGGAAGCCATGGGGTGGTGGGTCTTCCCTTCTCCGCTAAGCCTGTCTGGAAGAACCCTTATAGACACAGTCAGGGGTGTATTTCCCAGATGGTTCTAACCTGAGTCAAGTTGTTAATGAATATGAACTACTGTCCCTTCTTCTGCCTTCCACATCCCGTCTCACTTCTCAGGTCACTTGCCATTTTCACCTGACAGGTAACACTCTTTATCCATGAATTGTCTGTTTTCTCCTGCTAGCCTGTAAACTACCAGAGGACAAACATTTGTTTCTTCTTTTTAGTTGTATGAGACAGGGCCCTGCAACGGCTAGCCTAGTGCTGTCTCTTGCTGTGTTGACCAGGCTTGCCTCAAACTGATGGAATCCACCTGTGTTAACCTCTCAAACGCTAGAGCTACAGGTATGTGCCGCCATGCCTCCGGGGTGCACCATTTTCATCCACCTTGTTCATGGCCGTGTTACATGGCCCTAACCGTGTTTGGGACACAGAAGGTGCTTAACTTATATTTCTAGAAAAAGTGAAAGACTTTGATAATTATACTTTGTAGCCACCAAGGTAACCACAAGTAATTGTAACGAATACTTAAATAACCACAGATAACCATAAATCCACACAATCTTCCTTTTGTTGTGCATACATGTTTCTCTTATTGGTTGGTGAACAACGCTGTTTTGGCCAATGGACAGGCAGGATGTAGCCAGGCAGGAGGTACAGGTGAGGCTACCAGACTAGGAGAATTCAGGGAAGAGGAAGAGAGAGGTTGAGTAGGGAGAGGGATGCCAAGTAGCTACAGAGGAAGCAAGAGCCTGGGCATCACCGGTAAGCAAAGGCCACGTGGAGATACACAGGTTAATAGAAATGGGATAATAATTAAGAGAGAGCTAGACAATAGGAAGCCTGAGCCATGGGCCAAACAGTTTATAGTTGGTATAAGCCTCCGTGTTTATGTGGGACTGACGGGTGGCGAGATGGGCTGGACGGAAACTTCCGTCAACAAGATCCCGGTCTGCAGTCCATTCTGACTTCACACCAGCCGGGCTACAGAGAGAAGCCCCACTCAAAGGACCAAGGGAGAGGGGGACGTTTGGTCGGGAGAGCAGCGCTTCCCCCGCCCCCAGCCGGCCGCTTTCTACCTTGTATTCAGCCCCACCCCGCACTTGAGTCCCCCAAACAGCCTGAGGCCGGGGATGGGGTCT